CTGCATGAGCTGCAATTTTTAATTTACTGTCTGAAAAGCTAAACAAAAGTTTTTTTAGTACAGCTGCATAAAACTTGTCTAAGTTTAGGCTCAACAGTGTGGATGGAGCAGGAAACAAATGTTAAAACAGAGCAGGGGATTGTCGGATGTCCTCTACTCTCCATATCCACCAGAGCCGTTTAGAAGAGGACCAGGCTGCAGATTCCTCTCTTCTGCACAGTGTGATTGTACTCCTGCCTCCAGGAAAGCGTTCCAAAACCATCAGAAAAGAGACTAGCAGACTAGAGACGGCTTGTTCCCTACAGCAGTAAGACTTAACAGATCAGTGGGACTATGTATCGGATTTTATTGCTTCAGTTATGACCCTCATGAAAAAATCCTTATTGTTTTTTATGCTTTAATGCTGTGAAAGCTACGATGTTCTAGACTATAATCTGATATGTAGATGCTCCTGTGTATGCATTATGATGATACAGGCATTTCATAATCTGATTCTAATTGCTAAAGCAAACCTCATCTCTTTTTTAGGGATCTCAGGAAGGTTATTCATACTTTTATGACTTCTCATCTGGAGAACTGTAACTCTTTATACATTGGGCTGGTTTAAACAGCACTGCAGTGGTTAACCACAGCTAATCTGTTAACCAGTACAAAGACTCATGAGCACCTAACTCTAGTCCTAAATCTGTGTTGTAAGTCTTCACATAAAGTTAAATAGCTCACTTTTGGTTTTAAATGTTTAGTTTTTTTCTTGTTTGTAGCTGTGAAGCTTTTGGTAATGTGCCATATGAATGTATTCAACATAAAAATCATATAATTGAGATGATGTTTTTTAGTCCTAACAGTTCTGGTTTAGTCTGAGGCAGGACTCGGGGCCCAGATAGGGACCCTTGAGCCTCATCTCAGCCTCCTGGAGCGTGAAACACCTGCTAACTTTGTCTTTACTGCTTTGAGAACATGTTCACATTAGGATTCAGCTCGTTACCCAAGCACACCAACCGCTCCTAGTGTCACCAAGAGGGGGAAAAATCTACATTTACCCAGGATGCTGGTAAACAACTTGTATATGTTTACACCTTGAGCCCATTCAGTGGAAAGAAAAGATTCACTGTTATCAAGAGGAAGTTATCTTCCACCACACTAAACAGACAAGTGGTGCTTTTTCTTTGTAGCTGATCTGTTTCAAGGGTTTATATCTGTACAAAAGGTATTAATGACACAAAGAATTTTTATTAGAGAAATGCAAACAGACCGTGATGGAACCAAATAAAAATGGGTTTGAGACCAGCCTCTTCGGCCAAAAGCTTTTTCACTCTCCCTTGTTTTAAAGAAAAACTGTAGATTCACTTCCATACAGAAAGCCCATATTCTTATCTTCAGGTAACACAGA